ACGACTCTTAAGCATCAACGTACAACATGAGCTAAGGATGACACAGACTAGAATGTGTGGGGTCGATTGCAAACCCTCCCCGCTTGCCTCCTTTTGAGGACTTATCATTTTTAATATAATGCAGGAACATATGTAAACACACGTGCGAAATACCTACGTCAAAGGTAGGATTTTAAACAAACACAAATGTTACAAAAAGCGGTTCCTGCTACAGGACTTTAAACAACGACTTCGAGTGCACGCTCTTTATTTCCTACTTATCATGATATCTAGAAAAGCGGTAAAGTTCCTACTTCTCATGATATTTAGAAAGCAGTAAAATGCTGAAATGAGATAAACAAGAGAAAATACCAAACGAATATCAATCCATAGAAAAGAGCATCAAAACAAAGAAACCCTACGATCTTCGCGAAAGCTTCACCAATCGAAGAAAAGAGTCAGAAATTAAATGCCCGGAATAAGTGTCGAAGCATCATCGATGTGAAAATAAATCAAAATCAAAATCTCTAGCATATCCACATATCACACAATAAACCTGCATAAGACTCAGATCTCAACAAGCAAAGGTGAATTACAAATCTCAAATAATCGGATAATTAGGAATTAATTCCTAAAAAAAAATAAAAAAATCTAACATTTTTTATTAATGTTTTTGTTTCATCAATATTTCTTATTAAAAAAATGTTATCTAACAATTATGAAAAGAAATAGCTAAAGAAAACTAAAAAACTACACAGAGGGTGTCATCCTGAAAACAGGTGGTGTTGAAGCAAGTCTGGCGGCTAGGCCCAAGGAAGGTCCACAGTCCTTTTTGTGCATCCATCAATCAACTTCAAAAATCATCAATAAAGGCCCAGGCAAGGAGGGATTAGGTCCATTAGTTGTTTTTTGTTTGCAAAGCAATAAGCTTCAAAAAAACACCCTTGGGCCCATTCAGGGTCCGGTCTAGCATAGACAAACGAATCAATCTCATTATTTTCAGGTTTTTTTGTACCCATTGTATTAACATTTTAACTAAAAAAAGGAAAGAGAGAAAAATGTATTATCAGGACCAAATAGAAAGAGGATTTAGGGTTAAAACAATGTTGTGACGCATCAGTTTCTTCTTCTACACACGAAAAGAAATCTGTTTCGGCTCTGTCGTCTTACCTTTATGAATTTTTTCCCCACATGCCACGCCCCAGAAACAAAAATCCCAAAATGCCACGCCCTGAAAAATAATTCCCAATATGCCACACCCAGGGGGGGTTCACGCCATTTGAGATGGCGCGAAGGTGAGCAGGAAGGGCTCACGCCATTTCAAATGGCGTGAAAGGGGTTTATATTTATTTTTTTTCATTTTCTGAATTTTTAATTATTTATTTTAATTATTTAATATTTATATTAATTACAAATACTTTTTATTAAATAAACTTTATTATATAATTTTTATATTAATTACAAATACTTTTTATTAAATAAAATTTAATATTTAATGTTTATATTAATTACAAATACTTTTTATTAAATAAATTTTATTATTTTTATTAAATAAACTTTATTATATAATATTTATATTAATTACAAATACTTTTTTTTAATAAAATTTATTATTTAATATTTATATTAATTACAAATACTTTTTATTAAATAAATTTTATTATTTTTATGTTTATACTTTTAACAATTAAAATATGAAAATAAATTAATACTTCGAATAAATATTTAACAATTACAAAATGATAATAAATTTTTTTTATTAAATAAATAAAATATCACAATTACAATCAAAATGCAAAATAAAATAAAACTGTTAAACATTCACAATTATACTATTTAATGTTGATGATCCGGTCATAAACGAGTACCGGTAAAACAATGACGCGGTCGCGGAGCACGATGACCAAAACCATATTGTTCTTCGGTCTCTGTTGTTGGAGGATTTTGTTGTGTTGCATCTGATGTTGGAGGATTATCTTGAGTAGGAGCGGTAGCTTGTGGAGGAGACCAAATACTTTGCAATAAATCATAATCACTGACGTTAAGATCCTCGCCCAAATTATATTGCGGCTGTTGTGGTGGACACATGGTTGGAAAATAAGGCGGGTTATGTTGGGAGGAGGAGGAATCAAAGTTTGGTCGCATGATGGGTGTGAATTGTGTAGTTGGCCTATTATAAAATTGTGGTTGTTGGGATTCATAAATGTAATTTGGTTGGGAGTGAGATTGCGGCTATTGGGTGTTAAAGGTTTGATTTTGGTAAAAATAAGGGGCAGGAGTTTGTAGTTGGGAAAAATGAGGGTTAAAAGTTTGTTGTTCAGGATAATGGGGGATGGGTGTTTGATGTTGGGAAAAGTGAGGAGTTTGTTGTTGGAAGGATTGGGGTTGAGGAGGCTGAGAATGTTGTGAGTGGTGAGTTTGTTGAGAGCCACTTTCCTGAGTAGAGGCATATTAATTTTGACGAGGGTCTGTGAGAAATTGTTCGTACGATGCATATCTATGTGGAAGTGAGCGATACCATTGCATGTACTCTTTTGACGGTTTCTCCTCTGTTTGTAATTGATCTCCATCCAACGTAAACAATTCTCGATGCAACCAACAGTTTTGTTCATCAGAGTATAATGTGGTATATGCATGTCGACGCGCTTTTAATGTTGTCATTTTATGGTGTTCAGCCAAGCATCGAGCTTCTTCAGGTATCCCTTGTAAATGGCCAAATTGTAGTTTGACCCTATCAGCTTGATGCATTTCTACAATATGAAAGCATATCATATACGTAGTTGAACTCCATATCAAACTGTCCTCGTGCCTTTGGGGCACTAATCCAAGATACGGCCTCCAAATAAACTGAGAAGTTGTAGATAAAATATTTTAGTTTAACCAATATAAAATTCAAAAATTTATAAGAAATATTAAGGTGAAGACAAAAAAACCTGATCTTGAAGCATGTGATCAATCCTGAATCGGTATCCTTGAAGATGGTGGCGCGGGTTGTTTTGGTAGTCAAGTTTCTTGATGCACCATCTAAAAAGAATTCAAAATAAAATTTTATTTTAAAGTATCCTAACAATATTAATTATAATTTTAAATTTAAAATAAAATATTACCTTCTTGCGTAAGGATATGGAGATTGAAGCGGAGTCACCGGAGATATTATAGGCATGCGTGTAAAAGCCCAAGCTTGAAGAAGTAAAACGCATCCTGACATCTCTGTTACTTTTATGTCTACCGCCTTGCACATTTCCCTATATAGATTCGCTAAAACGGCGGAACCCCAACTCAATTTTCCACAATCTTCTAAATCAACAACAAATTGTGTCCATTTTGAGTGTATAGTATTTCCGCTTTTGTTGGGAAACAAAACTTGCCCGATAAGGAGTAAAATATAAATACGAGCATGTTTAATTTTATACTCCTCGGGTGACTCCTCGGTTGGTGGTTCATGTTGGTACATGTCTTTAAGCCATGTCAACCTCGCAGTCATTCCTTTATCACTTTGTGGTGGTTCATCCCCTAAAATAGAACTCCATGCACCATCACCCAGCTCAGATTGACAATTTACCGCTTTTCCATCTACAGGAAGACCCAGTAACATACTCACATCTTCTAATGTAATTGTGCATTCACCGTTTGGAAGATGAAATGTATGAGTTTCGGGTCTCCACCGTTCCAGTAAGGCTATAACTAACCTTGAATCGATATGTGTTGACCCTATTGTAGATACATGGTAGAACCCAGATTGATGAAGGTACGGGATTATGGCTCCATGTGGCTTCAGAGGTTTGTGAGCACGGATTCTTCATTTTGAAATATAATTATCATCAATCTGTAATAGAAATAAATAATATAGAAAAATATTCATTATTTCTATGCAAATTATGAATAAAACTACTATTGTAAACTCAAAAATAAATAATACGAATAAAGTTGAATAAATCAAAAATACTTACAGCATTGATATTTTCTACCGTTCCCCTATGTTGTGTACCATACCAAAACATATTGGCCATAACTGTGAAAATGAAGAACAAGACTTGTGAAAAGAGAGAAGAGAAAACTTATCAAAAGAGAGTAGAGAGTGTGAATAGAATGAAGTGTGTTTGTGGAGAAATGAGGTGAGAGTGATTGGGTATTTATAGGAAAAAAGAGGTGAGTGTGGTTGGTTGGTAGTTGAATAATTTAATTAATTATGGTTAATAGGTAGTAAAGTTATTTAATTAGAGTTGGTAGGTAGCAGAGTAATTTAATGAAAGTTGGATAAATATAAATTTGTAATTTATTGCGAATATTGTAAATTACACGGTTTTGTACACAATGATAAAACCTCATCGGCTGATCTACTGAATCTGACATACAACTCAAAAGGTGTTTTATTAACACCATTTCGAAAATCCTCAAACATATTAAATACATCTGTATTTGTAACTAACTGTGTAATATGCTGCATCAAGACTCCATTTTCGTTGATGGTAGTTCGGTTGAAAGATATCTCTGTAATGCTCCTATTAATATTTGTGACTTGACGTAATTGATTTTTCAAATAAATTAGTTTAGATCTTTCCATAAGCCGCACAACCAAAGGATTAGAAAATGCATTTCTATAATCAAATATAACAACCTGTGAATTATACGGAATAATGTATACTGAGCAGAGTATCAGACTCATTTTAATCTGATAACATAATCGTTTATTGTAGTCTTATATGCATGGAACATATGACTTCACGCCAGACACATAGCCTTCACGCCATTTGAAATGGAGCAACCCTAGGGTTCACGCCATTTGACTTGGCGCAACTAGGGGCTTCACGCCATTTCATATGGAGCAAACATAGGCTTCACGCCATTTGAAATGGCGCCTTTATGGGCTTCACGCCATTTGAAATGGCGCAAGTGTACATGCATGAAATCCAACACTTTTGATGTTTGTTTATTAATACATGCATTTTACAATTCAACATAGTGTATTCAACAAACCAAACTATCACATATTCAAACAATTGAACATTACATCAAACACAATGCCACAAAATCATATTTCTTGTCTGTTACATTTCAACGGTAATATTTTTACTGATGAAATTATTGGAGTGGTATTTCAAAATACAGATACAAATATTTTAAAAATTCATCGAAATAGTGATTTAGCTCAGTTGACAGAAAAAATAGAAGAAACTTTACGACAACAAGTAACTTCTATTTTTTATCGATTTCCAATAGTTAATCCAGTTGATCACAATGTCACATACAACACTGCAAAAATCGAAGACGATGAAGATGTCCGTTCAATGCTTCAATGCCACTCAAGGTTTTGCAATCAACAAGAAATGGAGTTGTATATTTGTTTTCAACAAATGCATGAAGTATTTCCAACACAATCGTCACAAACTCATGCATATCAACAAAGTCAGGTCTCCCAACAAGAAGAGTCTGTCGAAGTACAACATAACGAGCCAATATTTCCGGAAGAGGAAGTGGGTGATGATACTGACTCCGACGATGCTAGACAAATTAATTTGTTTAGTGGATCCAATGATGAGTCAGGTGACGATGATAGGCTGGAGGCAGAACCGGCTCCTATACTTGATCTGTATAACCCACCCTATCACTTGAGAAACGTTTCATTTGAATGTGTGGAACCAATTTCAGTCTTCGAATCCGTACACGAACGTGAGTCATGTGATGACTTAAAGGTTGGTATGACTTTTGAAAACAAAGAAGCATGTCTCCATGCAATATCTGAGTATCACATAAAAAATTCTCATACATTTAAGGTTTGTAAGTCTGATCCGACACGATATTTAATTAAATGTAAAAAGGAGGAATGCAACTTCACATGTAGGGCTTCGTTAAGGGAGGGGTGTGGTAAATGGGTTATTGGCAGAATTGGAGGGCCACACACTTGCATGTCGACTGCTATATCTCAAGATCACAAAAAGCTTACCTCAAAGATGATCGCCCATAACATCAGACCTCTTGTTGACAGCGATGCGGCAATCAAGGTTAGACATATTGTTGCTCATATTCGTACGACTTATGGCTACACCGTGTCTTACAAAAAGGCATGGATTGCAAAGAACAAAGCAATCGAAGATATTTATGGTAATTGGGAGGCCTCTTACAACAACCTTACGCAGTGGTTGCTAGTCATGCAACAATTTCTCCCAGGTACCATCATAGATCTTGAAACACTTCCTGTATATTCAAATGAAGGAACACAAATTGGTGGTGCAAGAATTTTCCATCGCCTTTTTTGGGCATTTCAACCTTGTATTAGGGGTTTCGCACATTGTAAACCTATAGTGCAGGTAGATGGTACATGGCTGTATGGAAAATATAGGGGAACATTGCTCCTGGCTGTTGCACAAGATGGGAATGGTAACATTTTCCCAATCACATATGCATTGGTCGAAGGTGAGACCGAGGGAGCTTGGAGTTTCTTTTTGAAAAATTTGAGACTCCACGTCACACCCCAATCAAACTTATGTTTGATATCTGACCGACACGAGTCCATTAGGAGTGCCTACAATAACCCGGATAATGGCTGGCAGAACCCACCCTCGGTGCATGTGTATTGCATTAGGCACATCACATAAAACTTCATGTGAGCCATCAAGGACAAAAACCTTCGCAAGACAGTTGTTAACATGGGTAATTACTCTCTAATTTTTAACACGGCATTTCAATATATAGTTCTTTTATATTAATGTTTTAATGCTTTTATGAAGGGTATGCAATTAATGAGTCTACATACGCATATTATCGGAAGGAGATGCGCCAAACAAACACAGAGGCTTTTAATTGGATAGAGAACCTTCCAAGAGAAAAATGGTCGCGAGCTTACGACGGAGGAGCACGATGGGGTCACATGACAACCAACCTAGCTGAATCTTTGAACTCAGTTTTGAAGGAAACCCGAAACCTACCTATTACATCACTTGTAAGATCAACATACTACAGGATGGGAACATTGTGGGGTAAGCGAGGAAAGGATTGGACCAAAAATTTGTCATCGGGAAAGGAGTTCACAGATAACTGCATGAAAGGAATTGCAGAAGAAGTAGAAAAATCCCACAGTTATAATGTCTTGGCTTTTGACCGGGAAAGTCATTATTTCGTGGTTCAAGAGACGGTTAATAATAGGAATTGTCGACCACTTACCCATTTCAACGTCAACCTCCAAACACGAACTTGTGACTGTGGGAGATTTCAAACTTTTCATCTGCCTTGCTCACATGCTATCGCAGCGTGTTCTCACATTAACCACGACTATACTACGTTTATTCCTGACTTGTATAGAGTTATAAACGTCTTCAAAGTTTACATACAAAGTTTCCTCGGTGTTCCCCAAGAAGATAGTTGGCCTCCATATTTGGGCGATACTCTTATGCATGATGAAAGGATGCGACGAAACAAAAAAGGCCGCCCAAACAGTACTCGCATTAGAACTGAAATGAACACTGTTGAAAAAATAAAAAGACGATGCAGTATCTGTCAACAACCTCATATGCGGAAAAAATGTCCGCATCGCCTCAACAATGCAGGCCCTTCTAACTAGTTTTATTTTATTTTGCATTTTGATTGTAATTGTGATATTTTATTTATTTAATAAAAAAAATTTATTATCATTTTGTAATTGTTAAATATTTATTCGAAGTATTAATTTATTTTCATATTTTAATTGTTAAAAGTATAAACATAAAAATAATAAAATTTATTTAATAAAAAGTATTTGTAATTAATATAAACATTAAATATTAAATTTTATTTAATAAAAAGTATTTGTAATTAATATAAACATTATATAATAAAGTTTATTTAATAAAAAGTATTTGTAATTAATATAAATATTAAATAATTAAAATAAATAATTAAAAATTCAGAAAACCAAAAAAAAATATAAACCCCTTTCACGCCATTTGAAATGGCGTGAGCCCTTCCTGCTCACCTTCGCGCCATCTCAAATGGCGTGAACCCCCCCTGGGTGTGGCATATTGAGAATTATTTTTCAGGGCGTGGCATTTTGGGATTTTTGTTTCAGGGGCGTGGCATGTGGGGAAAAAATTCTACCTTTATCTCACTTCAGACGTTTTCATTGTAACCTCTTATTCTTTGAATGTGAACTACGACATCCGCCTCTCCGTTTAATCTTCTTCGCAGTTCACTGCCGAATCCATACTTTCGTCGTGTTTGAAACTTTTCTCTCCAACACCGCTCTTTCTCACAACAGTCACAACATCTTCATCTTCCACGATCTAAAATTTCGTCTCAATCTCTCACTTCAATCCGTGACGGCCTTCTTCTCAACCTTTCACCGCAAATGCGAGACATTCTCGTCATCTTATCCTCACTTAAGATTTCGATTTGACTTAACTCTCAAACTGAAATAGAACCATAGTGATGAGTACAAGAAGTTTACCTACCGAAGACACTCCGGTGATGTTTCAGGCGCGGAGGAGATGACAAGAAATCTGAGAGAATCTTCAACAGTTGCTCAAGTATGTATATCTTTGATCGCTTTTGATTCTACTTTATTCTTTTGTTTGTGTTTCTTCTTCTTCTTCTTCTGTCTTCTGGTTCCGCTAATTCATGCTGGTTTTTCTGGTGCGAACACGTTTTTGATGTTGTTGCATGAATTATGTGGATTTGGTGATGTGCTGATACATGAAGAGAATGAGCCACTGAGAAATAAACTCGATGGCGAAGGCTTGTGGAAGCGTGCATCGATGTTGTGCTGATGTTGCAATGATGCATTGATGATTATAGAAGAGAATTCGTAGAAGTATCGATGAATCACTGCAGAACAAGAGGATGAGATACAAAGCAGTGCTGAATAATTTGTGGAAGATTAGAGTGAGATTGATGGAGGTTGCAAAAGGGCTTAGAGGTTGTGATTGAGGAAGATGAAAATTCGTCGAAGATTATACAGAGAGAGCCTTTTTTTACAAATCAAGGTTGTCGAAGGAGGTGGATAAAGGTTGATTAAGGAGGTGGGTGAAGGTTGATGAAGGTGAAGAAGAAAGGGAGAGCAAGAAGAGAGAAATTTGGAGCGTGATTCTTCTGTAGTTGTGAAGAATCAATATGAAAGGTAAGTTTTTATTTATATCTATTATATTGGAGATGGTTAGAGTTGTTAGAGGAAGTTAGAAAATAGTTAGGAGGTTAGAGGAAATTTGTTAAATTTTGTTTTGATTCAGTTAAAGGTTAGTTATGGGATTCGATAGATGAGATTGAATTAGAAGAAAACTGTCACGAATTCTGTTAGAGCTTTGTTTTGATTTTTCACATTTTCCTTTTCTGCTTCCCTGGCTTTCTAATTTTTCTGATGTAGTCTTTTTTTTATTTAAATATGTTGAGCTAGATTTTTTGTAGCAGGGACTGGTTTAATCTGCAATTCTAAATACTGAGTTTTCCTGATTTTCTATTAGTGAGTGCAGTAGAAGGGGACTTTGTCGGTTTAAATAAAATCTATTTTGGTTTTATTTCTCTGTATTTTCTGGTTTGATATTTCAGTTTTTGACTTTTTATGAAACGCTGCAATTATGTTTTAAAACTAGATAGGGCATCATGTTTTTTTGTTAAACTGGTTTTGAATGGTTTATTGTTAAATGGATTGGGACTGTATTGAAATTATATGAGATGTTGATTGGTTTATTTTGCGAGGCTTCCAGGTCACGATTATTTGGTCTGAACAAATAGGCACAAGACTTATGAGGTCTTGAAGAAGATTGGAATACAAAAAACAAAACAGGGCGAGGATGACTTCAGAGAATTAATCAAGAATAACATTAGGATTAGTAACCGAACTTTATACTTCTTCAAGTATGCCATGTGAGAATTGTAGTTTGAATGAAGCTTTGTAATGGCAACTTTCATGTAATGAATTAGATTGGAGTTGTACTTGTACTTGTACTTCTCTTGTAATATGGTTTTGAAAATTTCGTGATATCTTCTAATATTCAAAGCACCTTCTTCTAAATTGAACATGAGATTCCAAATATTTCTCTTTAACACTTTTCCTATTATTTGAATAAAGTTGAATAAAGGATGAAATTTTGATTATGGACTTTGAATGAAAGTTCAATCACATGTAACTTTATGCAACGATGACATTTGATCAAGAAATCGCACACTTTTGTAAGTTGAAATCCTTTGCATGCTATCCTTTTCATATGGTTTCCATGCTTCACTTTGATCGTTTATGGCTTCTTTCAAATTTGAAACCAATAGAATGAGTTAATAATGAACTTAAGTGGAAATTTGGCCAAAAAGACTACTTCTCAAGTCGACTTTGACCAAAGTCAAAGAAATTAATTAAGATGTCTTTGAATCAATCTTGTATAATTTCATGAATCCAAACCAATTAGTAAACCATACTCGCACCTTGGCAAAACCCTAGTTCATGAGATACATAGGGAAATAAACCCTAATATCTGAAACTAATGAAACTGGGTGGAGAATGGCCCTATGTCTTGACGAAGAAGAAATTCTTAATGACCACGACTCACAACCATAATTCCACTGCTCATTTCTTGAAGAAGAAATTAGCCTTTATTGGGTATATACACCTCAATCACCGTAAAACCCTAATATTGCACAATCAGTTTATCTTGTGAACCTCGGGTATTTATTGAATGGAACGTATGTTATGTTAATGCAGACGACCTAATGGAAAGATGTGGATGGAATGCAAATTCTAATCCAGATAAAAGCAACCAGGAGGGAAAATTTTGGGGTGCAACACATAGGCATTGCGAAACTAAGCACATATTTCCCTATAGTATTGACCATATTTGGTCTTCTATTCACTGGCTAACTCATAGTGATTGGTGTGTTTGGGATCGTCGAAGACACAACCACAGAGCTTGAACCAACACTTGTTGCAGCACTGGAATTTCCTCCCGGGGGTTGTTCTACATCTGGATTTCTAGGATATACCATTTTTCTACCACTCCTCAATCTCATGCACATATTGAGACAAACTTAAAACGAACTTAACACAAACGTGTTCCACTGGGTGTGCCAATTTGTTCTCAAGGGTTTATCGAGAACAATCTCTTGCCTCTTAATTAAAGGTTACTTGCAGGACCAACTACAAAAGTCATAGGCTCAGTGTTAAGTTGGATATGGTGTTTTGGGATTAGAAAGCAGAAAAAAGGTAAAAGACAAAGACAAAGATAAATCTGTAAGAAATGATAAACAAGACAGAATAAACTTGAAGTAAATTGCTTTGAGTTTAAATGTGGATGCAAGCATACATTTTTCAGAAGTGACTCGTTTCTCTCTTTAACGCGGATACTTTGAGCGCTTTCTTAGAATGTTACAAAATGTGAACTATAACATGAATGAAAAAATTGCTTAAATAACAAACAAAAAATAATTGCTATCATACATGTTCAATGGTTTATCATACCCCATTTTTTTCCCCTTATCTTTTTTAACTGATGCATATTTTTCCTTTTTTGAAAGGTCGATCATTTTGCATATTTCTTGTGTTTAATTCATCCTTTTAATTTCTATTTTAAAAATCCAAAAAAATTAAAGTCTTTTATTAGTTCCATTTAGATTTATATTTTTCATCATTTTAACTAAAAAAATATCAAAAGTAAGCCCGCATCATTTTCCATTTAATTAATAATTGGATTTGAAATTGATTTTTCATTTCTAATTATTAATTAAATTGTATTTCAGTGAATTTCGCATTTTTTATTAATAATTGATTTTTTTTAATGATTAAGTTGGAAAATTCAATTCAAATCAACATATTTGATTTAAATTTACAACTTTGATATAAAATTATAATTTTAATTATTAAATAAATTTTCTTTTTTTGTTCTAATAATTAATTTGATTTGAATCTTAATTTTAATTCAATTTTTAAATTGGATTATTATTACAATTAAAATCAAATTTTAATTTTTTTTATTTCCATTTAAATCTTTTTTTAACTTTTGTTATTACTAACCATTTTCTCTATTTCTCATTATTATTATTATTATTATTATTATTACTATTATTATTATTATTATTATTATTATTATTATTATTATTATTATTATTGTCAAAAATAGAATTTTTTTTTGGAATAACTAGGTATTAAATTTTTTCCCACAAATAACCATGTTTCAAAGAAAATTACGCAGATAACCATGTTTCCGAAAACCCCACATAGGAGGAGTCAACCTAGTTGGCGCCTACACCTTATTTTAAAGGGGAGGCGCCATCTCACTTGGCGCCTAGGTGTGAAAGGCTTGTGTTGTACCCCAAAATTTGCCCTCCCATATTTCTCAAAATATTTCAAGAAAGATCCCCAAGTTGCTCAAGGTAGTCCAAGGATTGACCAGACAAGCTCTCTCCTAAGGCAGTCCACCTCAAATTAGGGTTTCATGTTGCATCAAGATACTTGAGTCAAAGAGATCCCAAACTCTCACCAATGTCCTAATATGTTCTCAAGATCATCCATGTCAAGTTTCAAGCCCTACAGAGAAAGTTTGCTCAGTCAATTGCTCAAAGGCATGAAAATTGATTGTGTTAGGGCAAAAGTCAACGGTGGCCCACATACAGTCAAACTTCAAGATTTTTGGTCAACATCCTCATTTTGAAGTATTATTCATCATTTGATCAAGGGTTGATCATGATTCATCAAGGATTGCTCATAATTCATCAAGACTCAAAAGTTGCTAAATTAGGGTTTTGAGGGAAAGGTAAACTCAACTTTGACCAAGCATAACTTTCTCATACTTTATTATAAATGACCAATCCAAAGCTCATTTTTAAGAGGATGAAATTCCATACAATCCATCTTCATCTCCCAAGTTCAAAATATGCACTCACAAGAAGTTATGAATTTGGACATTATAGGTCATTTTGAAAAGTCAACAAAAACACTTTTTTTCTCAAAGATTCATACATGAGCATGTAATATCAAATTGAGATGATACCAAAAGGGTTGACTAGAGGACATCTCAAGATTTCTAAAAAGTCCAAGAACACCTCCAAAAAGTCAAAATTGAGGAAGTTATGCATTGTTGAAGTTGACCCTTTTTTGTAAAATTGTCAAAAGTCAAATATGTCCAAAATTGCAATTTTTGCCAAATGGGCCTAACGTTTTATGCTTGCATTGAGTTTTTAACATGGTCCACGACCTATAAGCTCACCCATACATTTTTCTACTATTTATGCTATTTATTTTGATATTTTATTCATTAAAATTCAGAATTAAATAAATAAATAATAGAAATAATGTAAATTTTGATGTGGATCCATTTTGGGAAAGTTTTATGCTGGTTTATGTCAATTGATTTCGTGCAATAACCCTTCAAATATGTCCAGGTTCATCCACATGTGAAAATGGCATAAAATCATCAAATATGGCATTTTTTTCAAATCTTGATCATGGTCTTAAAACACAACATTATGAGGGAGATTCTTTCCATGCTTTCTTGTCTACTCATTCTCCTCTATAAATATAGAGCCATACAAGCTTGAAAGGGACGAAAATCCTCTCTAAAAAGCTCTCAAAAAGCTCTTCAAAAAGCTCTCTAAAAGCTCTTCAAAAAGCTCTCCAGAAATCAAAGAATTGGTGCAAGTCATAACTCGAGGTTCCGGTGTCTCTCAATTGACATCAAGCCCCAAAACATCCTCTTGAAGTCCTCAAGAGTCTTACAAGGCCCAAGAGCAATCCATCACACGCCTAACACGCCCCCCATTTGACAACACCGATTTGGTAAAATTTTAAACATTGAATCTCTAATTTTAATCATATTTTATGGTATGCTAACGTTTGTTTGAGTTTATATAGAACAGTTATGGATGGTTGAATCATAGGTTCCACGCAAGAATCAAAAAACACCATAGTTAGAGCATGAAGCTTTCGAAGATTCGGGCCTAGGGATTTC